GGCCTGTTCTGTGGAAGTAAACTTCTGACCACAGATGAAACTCTACAGGCAGAGGCCCCCAGGAGAAACCTGTGGTGATTTCCTCCTTGTGAGCCTCCACCCATAGGGCTGAATTTATCCCTGAAGTAACTCTACTGATGTTGTTAATATCACATGAGGGATCAATTTCCCTTACCTCATTTGTTTCATTTTTAAAGCCAAAAAGGCCAGGCCAGTCACTCCAAAAGAGTAAACCACCTTATTTTTGTTTCCACCTGTGCAGCTACAGCAATTTAGAGCCAGCTAAGAACCTGTCCCACTGTCTCTAATGGTGGGTTAGATTTTATGGTCAATGTGGGATGATTTTCTAGTGAAGGATGTTGACAATAGTCAACAAATAGTCCCAACCAGTTTAGAGCTGGATTCAGGTTACCTGGGTTGGGTTACTGGGGGTTGAAGGTATACAGAACCCTCTCCAGCTTAAGGATATTAATAACGGCTGAGTACAAGAGACAGGAGGTTGCGATGGTATGTGTATTGCCCATAGTGCTTGAGATGTGTCATTTCTAGGTTGGCTAATAATGATCGAAGGTCTCACCCCTCCCAGATAGCTGGTAACTGTCTAAGGCTGTGTTAAAGGCTAGGTTTCAGGCACGGAGTACATACTACTGCCCTTTAAGTCCTGAGAGCCACCATTTCTGAGTTAGCCAGAGGCTGTGGTGCAGTAAATTCAGAAGCTGTCACTCCTGTGATAGGTTCCCATCAAGTGCTGCTGACCTTCATGCCCACAGAACTGCTTTTGCAAAGCAGCACAGAGGTCCATGGCTTCCATGCTCCATTTTACATTGGCCACGTGATTTATGAGCAGAAATCTTGTAAAAATGGAATTTCAGCTGCATTTCCTTCACTGACAGGTTGGCAAACATCTCATAAATCGCAATGCTAGCATCAAAATTCCTGCCAGTGATCAACAGATTTTATCAAACTCTCATAGCCTCCAAAACCAGGTTCCACAGAATCTTGTTCTAATTTATTATTAACTTGCTATCAGAAAATGTCATTTGCACGAACAATATTTGGTGCAATGCCAAGTACACAAAGCATCTGCAACACCTGCAAATAAATTATATCTTGTTATAATCTAAAAATACTTATTTCTTATTGTATCCTGGGAAGAATGGGGAAAGTAACTTGATTATAAAACGACCACAAATCCCGTGCACCATGTAATCAGTCTCATTTTATGCACTGACTTTCTTCATATCTGTGCAAATAAAGCCATTGTTACAACGTACAAAGAGCTGTGGCATATAGTACATGCAGCTAGGAAGCCATGAGTGCTGCTACCTATTGAGTCTTTAAATGGAAGGTGGCACATCTGCTTTTGGCATAGAAGTGTAAATCAATCCAAGATGTTTATTAAAGAGTAAGTAACAACCTGTTCACACGCTCTTTCCTCCCTCTAGCCTTGTTTTTGTTCTTTCTTTGTTATTTTCCTGGCAGTTAAATATGGGCTCTGCACACTGAAAGTATATGTTGTTTCTTCATGTACGGATAACGTAACATGTCACATAATATTTAACAAGTATGTGATGGGGAATAGTTTGGACAAAAACGCAAGCCAAAAGGAGGTGGGGAGGAAAGGGTAAGTACAAACAGCTACACCACAGCGACTGAAATGTTTATTACTCTGGACAAGGCAATTGTGTTTCCTAATGCTTTTCAAATGAATAAGACGACCTAGATTTGATTTCATGTTCTAGCTCTTGGCAATTAGTGAGCAAAATTTACAACAGTGAAGGATGATGAATATTTTCTTCCTCATCAATCGGAGGCATGAGCAAGCCTTAAAGAATGGAGTAGTCAATAGGGCTTGACTTTGTATTTACTGGAGGTATGTACATCTTCCACAACCAACTCTGCCTGAGCAGGGCTGGTAGGAGCCTAAGTCTTTCAGCACTTTCATGGGCTGACCAGCAGGAAAGACAACACAATATTGGCACTGGTGAATATTGGCACCAGAGGTTGGCCCTTTCTGGAGCAATCGCTGATGTATTTGGCACAGCTTGTAACATGTTCCTCTCCCACTGGCTGAGGAGCTTTAGGGTCTGCTGTATGAACAGCAGTCCAAGGACAACAATACCTTTTGGGAGCAGCCACTTCTGTGGGCTACCTGCATGAAGCAGCACTTAAGAGACTGGGAACGGGGAAGAAGGCAGTGCCTCCGGGCCTGAGGACAGAGCCTGGGAGATGCAGTGCTCCTTCCTCTTCCATCAAAGGATGCACAGGAACGTGTCCTAAGATGCCTGGGGAGAGGGACTCCCCCACAGCTAGGCAGCAGGGAGCAACCCGTTCTGTGTGTCAGTGAAGGGCCTACTTTATAGCATGCTTTTTAGTAACCAAAGGTAGAAATAAAATACCATGGACGTGGTCTTCTTGACTTCCAGGTGGGGAAATGATAAGAAAGTGATGCTATTCTTCAAGTGCATTATGGAAACAAGGTATTTCCTCTCAGACACTGAAGGGCCCATCCACTGGAAAGACAATCTCTCTTTTGTATGCTGGCAGTGGAAAATCACAGTGCTTTCCTGGCTCATGTTTAAGAGACGAGGTTGGAAAACAGACTGTTTGGCACATGATGGTTCAGGAAGGCTCGTCGTGCAGAACTGGGGATGCTTGTGAGAAAGCTTCAACAGAGAGGTCCATGCTGGACAGGGAACAGAGGCTGCTGGAAGTGTGCCACCCAGTGTTTTATACTTGCACATTTAATTGATTAGCCTGACCTCCAAACATCTTCTGTAATCGTTCATTTCTTCTTCGTTAAAATGGTCAGGATATATTCAAAGGCCAGATTCCATATGTATGTGTTTCTGTGATAATGTTACCTATCAGCTCTGTTGCCAAAGTAGCAAAAATTGCTATAAATTTGTTAATTGGGTCTCTTTTCATCTGTAGCTGAAACATAGCTGCACAAGAGACCCAGGTGGATTTGCTCAGCAACACAGAACACACCAGGACAGAATTTACACAGCAGTTACCACTGCAGGCTAGAATTATCTTGATCAGAGTTGTTACAGCATCCTGTTAAAATATTTTAGCCAGGGCAAAAATATTAATTAAATTAAATCAAATCAAAATACTTGGGTAGATCAGAAAAATAAATAAAGAAAAAAAAGCCAGTAATACTTTCTCCCATTTATTCCACACAGTCTTAAGTTTCTCCTTTTCTTTTCTTTTATTTTCTTTTATTCCACATGCCTGATAAAGGGACTCTGTGGAACTGAACCTTTTGCAAGTTGCTGGTGCCAGCTTTTTGCAGAGTGCCTCGGACAGGTCTCTCCATTTCCATTTCATTTTGTCTTTCTATGGCTGACACATATTGTTATTTAAATGAATGCTTTTGAACTCAGATTTTTTTAATGCAAATGTGTGCTGCTTCCCTGTTGAATTGAAAACATCAACACTTTTTTTTCCCTATGAAAAGCAGGATAAAGAGCAATATTCTCAAGGCTGAAGGTGGGTTGGGATGTAACTTTTCTGTGAATTTAAGTTTAAAAAGGAAGAGACACACTGGTGAAGTATAAAAATATTCTCTCAATCTTCCTTCTACCCAAGATATGATTAAAGCAGTATTATATCTTTTAAAGAACAGCTGAGGTAGGGAAGGTGCCAAGACACAGCAGACTGGTCACATTACCTCAAGGCATTCTGTGTAAGATGGTTAGGGGAGTACACACAGAAGTGAGAGACACTACGTGCCTCCGGCAATTTTAAGGTGCTCTATCCCGTCCTTCCTTTTGAAGGCCATGACTCATTTTAGTCTGAAAGTAGGCGTCCTCTCATTTTTAATTTTTTGGAAGCTGTTTACCAGGAACCATAGGCTGAACTTACAGAAATCTTACAGGGAAGTAACGGGGAGGAAAGAAAAAAAGAACAAATCCTTGGTTCCCTTTAGAGTACACTGCATTCATGTCTTCAGGCTTTTCTTTTACCTATAATATCTAGAAATGTACTTTTTAACAAAAGGTGAACGTGGAAGTTCTCCAGTAATCACATGCCTCCTGGAGCTGGAGCTTTCTGCTCATCGAATATTACAAGATATGCAAAAAACCACATCCCATGCCCCCAGCATCCAAAGGGTTGGTAACACCTGAGTTACATCCATACCTGATCTCTGCCAGACCAAGAGGCATGTGACGCTGAAGCATGTGGACTTTCTCACCCCTTTTCCCATTGGACAAGCATCCATCTTGCAGCAAAAAATGCCACAGTCCGTGCCCACTAGCACCCGTGCCAACAATATTAGCAAACAGACCTCAGGGACTGAGCTCCCCTTTTAATCACAGAAGTCGTTGTCTTCTCTCAGTGTCAGTAGTTGTTGTTCCAGCCCAGCCTTTCTGCATGTTGTTCCTGGACTATTGAAAACTTGAAGTGCTGCTTCCCCTGCAACACCAATTTATGGATGAGGAGACAACTTCAGTCTGCCAGGTGATAATTTGGCACCCTTATGTCAGTGTTAAAATCCCTACAGCTGTAAATATTTATTGAAAATGAAATATACTCAAATACTTCAGCTAGCACATTACCATATGAATAAATCTAACCTTAAATAAATCATGTGCACTCCATCTTTTATTCCGTTTATAAAATTCTTGCTTCTTGCTGTGAGCATTTCTTAGCTTAATATGGCTATTCAGAAGTAGAGTGATTCGTGGCGTGCCTTGATTTCTTTTAGAATACAACGTTTTGCTTCTTCTATTTCACCTCTTACAGCTTTTGCAAAGTTTTGATTTGATAGGACAAGAACAGCGAGGGCATTAGGACCAAGAGAAAGACGCACACATTGCTCTGTATTATGTCTGGCAAAGTGCTTCCTGACTGAGTGCCGTAGTTAAGTGTGAAACAAAGTCAGGGACCGACTAGTTCTCATCTGTTGATCACAGCTAACTTGAAGCCTCTGAACGGGGGAGAACTGTCAGATCTGCTTTCAGAGATAAGGCGCTTCAATCCAGGCAGCAACTGGAAACTTTGAAGAAGGAGAAACTGCTCTGGAAGGAAACAATAAGAAATGGAATTTCTTTTTACTTAGAATTTAAAAAACTTTAGCTACTCTTTTCATCAGCTAAACAGGCGCTTTCCTAACTAAGCTGGGACTCTGTATGATAAAGGACCTACTTTATCTCGCTGGATCCATGCTACCTTTTACTACAGTAAGTGCAATATTAATAGTAATGTTATATTTTGTCTGTAAATAGAGAGGAGAGCATGAAACGGCATCAGTGAAATGCAAGGGGAGCAAAAAAATCCTCTTGGCAGATAGTGAAAACCAGGGCTTTGCTGCAACCCGAGGACTGGAGTCTGAGAAAGATCCAAGTGATATTTAACATGACCATCTGTATCGTTTTGTCACCAACAGTATGTTCTTGAGGAAGAAGTGCAGATATGGATCATGCAAGCTGCAGTTTCTCTTGTTGTTGCTGATGCTGGGCTTTTTGCTCCTGATGGTTACAACGCTGAATCCACCACCCGGCAACCAGAGCAAGGAAGGGACTTTCCAGCCTGTGGAGTTCAGCCCGCGGGAAGGGTATCAGGTGGACTTTGCGGAGACCCAAGAGATGCTGGAGACCCAGGAGGAGAGCCAGCAGTATTACCCTTTGGATGGGCTATCGCCTTTCATCTCCCTGCGGGAGGATGAGTTGATCGTGGCCGTGGTGTCGCCCACCGGCAAAAGGAACCACAGCAAGGCCAGGAAGGGCTATCGGGTGGTGAAGCAGCAGAGCCGGCGGCCGCAGGCGAGGGCAGAGGGGGGCCCGGCGCCCCAGCTCCTGCCCCGTCCTCTGCAGGCTGGGGAAGGGGCTGCTGCGGGGGAGCGCCCGCTCGGCCTGGAAACCCACGGCTTTAACGAAGCGCTCAGCGAGCGGCTCTCTCTGCGCAGGGAGCTGCCTGAGGTACGGCACC